TTCAGTTTTGTTCCAATTAAGGAAGTCTGGGCCAAATGCCTATCTGCGAGACAATCTTTGATTCTAGGAAATTAAAGTGTTGGACGGTTCATGGTTAGCAGTGAAGGGACACTCATATCTGTTTTCTCATCATAAAGAGCATGGATTTTCATGGAAGGCTTTAAAATAGAAGAACAGGATGTAGATTTTATATCCTAATCATCCCTCTCTCAGCCTCAGGCCACAGAGGCTTTCAACATGAACAATGTCATTCGTATCACAGAAGTAGGGACATTTGTCATGGGAACCTGGAAGCAAGTTAGCATTAGGGGATGTCTACAAGGCACGTGACATTACAACTATGTATGATATACACACATTCCAAGCCCATCTTGTGAAACTAGACAAACTCCCCACTTTCCATTCTAAATTGCATTCCTAAAATTCCTGCCTACCTTCCCCAAACTATTTGGACAGAAATTTTTTTTTTAATATTCACATACATAAAGCATGTATACACACACATATACACATACTGTATACATACATACACACAATATAAATACATGCACGCAGTATACAAAATTCCTGATATAATGCAATCGTTGTTTTCCTCCAACAGCACAGCTTTCATTAAAACGAGACACGTTTAAGGAAAAGGTGATTTCTGACTCTTCTATCTAGCCTAGTTCACTTATATTCATCTTGTTTCTCATCAGCCTGGTGTCTGAGATGACCTTTGTCACTTTAGAGAGGGGAGAGGGATGTCATTCGTGGCTGGTAGGTATATTTTAGCAGAGAGGCAGGAGGATGCTGGCGAGAGAGACACTCTGATGTAGAATCGGCATGACTGGAAGGAAGGGCTGTAGCTCTTTCTGTGTGGATCATCGCTGTTTTGTTAGACGCGGAAGAATACACTATTACGTTGAATAATGCCTTGCTGTTCAACACAACACTCTCCTCATTCATGTTTGACTGGACAGACTTGTCTATTTAAAGTAAATTGGGCAGAAACAATTATTGGCACGAATCCTCATTAAAAACGTGCGCTATTTTTACTTATTTCTGCCTCTCTGCTGCCCCTCGGTGGCTATTTCCTGTAACAGCGCTGCATGAGGTTGGTTATTTCCCAGCCCCCACCTTCCTTAACGTATTTTCCTGAGCAAATTCAGTCATGGCCAATGAGCACTTTCAAAACATCTTAATTGCACAACGAAATGCACTAATAGAGTCGGAGGCGGACGAACAACTTCACACGGTGTCCACTTCCTGGGCCTGCATCTCCTGATACTCCCAGGAACCCTTAACTGGCATCTCCAGGCAAGCAAACTGCCTTGCCCCAAATACAAAACTTGCTCTTTGTGTACATGCCTGGGATGTGCTCCAACCCTGGAATCATAGAATGCGATCCGCTCCTTCCTCGCTGTGTACAATCCGTGTCCTCCTCACCCCTCAAGATGCCACTGACCTTACTTCCCCCAGGAAACGTGCCCAACCACTTCCAAACACAAGCCACAGTGTCTCAGCACGTATAAGCACGTATGCACCCAAAATAAAGTGCTCCTAATTGGAACATGTATCAGTTACCAAACGCTTATGTTTGGGTGACCTCATAGATAAATAATTATTTTAAACATTAATATTTCTATCTTTATTATCAACTTTATCAGCATATAGTGTTTCATAAGCAGGAATCTTTGCTTAAGTGGCTTCTGTTGGAAGGAGGAGGCAGAGGGTAGCAGAATTTAAGCCCTAGGATGGAATACAGGCTCATCTACTGGGTGTGTAACCTCAACATAAAGGAATAATAATGATACCTATTGAAATGATTATTCTGAGGACTAATGGAGATTTTGCAGGAAGACACTTAACATGTGCCTGACCTCGAGTAAGATGTGTTAGCTAACAGTAATAGCTGTCATATTCCAAATACTCATATCTCTAGAAACAAGGCAAAAGGCTTTTATAAGCTGATATATTAATAGCTTTATTTTTCACTGCAAATGCTAGTGAATTTGCACGTATTGCTTCGATTGCTATCAGTGATAGATGATATCTTTTGTTAATTTTTCTCCTGGTTAATAGAATTTTGTTTTCGATAAAAACTAAGCCACATTTAGAATACATTTGCTTAAAAGAAATGTATCACTACCTTTGTCTTCCAGTTAAGCCAAACTGAGAATGCAACAAAATTAGCAACTCAAGGAAACAGCATGCTCAAGGAGAAATTCCCCTTTCAACTGAGTTAACAAAGTAGTTGGGTATTACAATGCTCTATTGAAATGCAAAATTTTAGGCTAACATTATTCCTTTTGGATATTTTTTCTGGTAATAAAAATATTAATAATTCATTTCTATTGTAAAAAATTTTAGAAAATAAACAGCAAAGATTTAAGAACATTGGTGACCCCACAATTAAGAGCCAATCCTTTTAAAATACTAGTGAATTTATGACTATCTTTTTTTTCTAAACCAGTACTGTTCAACAGAACTTTCTGTAATGATGAACATGTTCTCCACCTGTGCTGTCCAATAGGAGAACCACCAGCCACGAGTGGCTATAAAGCATCTGAAATGTAGCTAGAGCAACTAAGAAACTGAAGTTTTCATTGTATTTAATGTTAATTAATTTAAATTTTTTTCAGCTTTATTGAGATATAATTGACAAATAAAAGTTGCACATATTTAAGGCATATAACATGATTTGATATACACACACATTGTGATGTGATTACTATAATCAAGTTTATTAACATATCCATCACCTGGCATAGCTGCTGTGTGTCTGTGTATGATGTTATTTACTTTATATATCTGAAAGTTTGTACCTTTTGATCAACATCTCCCCATTTACCCACCATCCAGCCCCTGCAACCACCATTCTGTTCTCTGCTTTGTGAGTTCAACATTTTTAGATCCCACGCAGCAAGTGAGCTCGGGCAGTATTTGACTTCCTGCGTCTCACTCCCTTCACTTAGCAAGATGTCCTCATCCACGTTGTAACAAATGTCAGGACCTCCTTCCTTTAATGGCTGAATAATATTCCATTCTATAATAAACACCATTTTAGTCCGTTCTTCCATCAACAAATATAATTTAAATTTAAATAGCCACATGTGGCCAATGGCCACCATATTGGACAGCGTAGCTCTCGACGGATATTTTTACAACACTGGGAACCTAACGTTGCATTGGGAGCACATCCTTATATTATTAAACATCCTGTGGAAACATGAGTTAAATGTTTCCTTATTTCATTATATGAAGGTATTATTATTAATTTGAACATCCCTAATTATGAGGCAGTTGGATTTTTTCCATTTTAACTCTTATAAATAAAGCTTTGGTAAACCAGTCTGTAAATAAATCTTTGTCTAGAGTCATGCTCATTTCCTTAGGATGGATCCACAGAGAGAAATGACCAGGTCAAAGGATAAGAACGTCTTTCAGGCTCTAGACACACACTGCTACATGGCTTTCCTGAAAAGCTGGGCCCATTACACTCCCACAGCGAGTCCTTCAGAGTACCTATCTCACCACACCCTGGTCAACATGGAGCATTACCCAGTCCTCTAAAAAATCTTTGCTTCATTGATAAATAGAAGTGATACCAAGTGGTTTGGGTTTTCCTGTCCTTGACTGGTGGGTGGTGTGGCGGTCATGGAGATAGACCTCCCCGGTCCCCCTCTGGGGGAAGACGTGTTGCCCCAGCTGCATTTGTCTGATGAGCGGACAGTCTCCCTGCCACCTCCTCAGGGTCTGCCTTAGCTGCAGAGACCTGCCTGACTTAAGGTTGTGCCCTTGTGGGGTGGTCCACACCCAGTGATGAGTGAGGTAGGGGTATGCAGACCTGGCCATTTGGGCCCCACCTGGCCACTCCGATGGGCAGCGGTCACTCCCCAGCTCGCGGCTGGGTTGGCTGACGAATTGTTGGGCCTGCATCACGAATGGACATCTCCATCTACCCAATCCTGCCTCCTCCCCATTTCTTTCACAGGTGTGAATCTCTAATAAATATCTTGCACCCCAAACCCAACTCAGCATCTGCTCCTGGAGGACCTAACTTGTGACGGCGGTGATGTTGGATTTTTTATATTTATTTGCCTTTTTCTGTCATGTTTGTGTTGAGGAGATCACTTCCCGGCAAACAGGAAAGAATGCTGATATCACTTAATACTGCCGTCCCCAGCCCCCTGTTAGGGATCGGGCAGCAGTGCTCCGCTGCCCTGCCCTGCCCCACGCTGTCCGTGGAAAAATTGTCTTCTATGAAACTTAGGAAACAGAGGGGGAAAGGGGGGAGGGGAGATGCACAGCAGGAGGTGAGCAGCTGGCCAGCCAGCGAGGGAAGCTTCATCTGTACTTACGGCCACTGGCCATCGCTCGCATCACCGCCTGAGCTCTGCCTGCCCTGCCCTTCCGTGGAAAAATTGTCTTCCGTGAAACCAGTCCCTGGTGCCAGAAATGTGGTGGACCACTGACTCAATACATTGCAATCAAAAGATGTGTCATGTTTGAAGTAGTAGAAAAAATAATAAAGACAAAGACTGACATATTTGTCTTAAAACTTAAAAATCTGTGCATATGAAAAACAGCTCGGATAAAAAGGCTTTAAAAGGCATGCACTGGAAAAATGACAATAAACAAAAGTTTAATATTTACCTATAAAGAGATCTTATGTGTCAAACTAACGCAAACAGAGAAAACACTGTACTATCCTGTCTTAGGTGCATATTCCTTTGGGACATAAAAAACATTCTCACACTGTGCCTTCTCTACACACATTTCCAAAACCCCTTCAGCATTGCTTGGCCTATTCCTCTGCAACGTCAGCTAGTCCAAAACGAGGATGGTCTTGAAACAAAGTTCTTTTGTTTGCAAAGAAGCTCAAAATGAGAATGTGGCTCCATGGAGCATGTCACAGTCCTTCCAACGTTCCTCTTCCAAAAACAGTGAGAGAAGTGAAGAAAACCTAATTTGGGGTACCCTCCAATGCTAACCCTTGTACCTCCTCTCTTTTACAGCCTTGATCACTGACGACCTCACAGATGCGATTATTTGTGCCAAGAAAATTGTTAAAGAGACGCAAGGGATGAACTACTGGTAAGAGTCTTTCCCTGGGGCACCTTGGCTGGCAGCGCAAAAGCTGCAGTGTGTCCGTTCATCACGGCCACAGTGGCCGCTGAGAAACTCACCTCCACAGAGCGATCTACGATGTGAACGTGACTTTGTCTACATTCTTTTCCATCAGTGTGTGGGTGTGCAGTGAACTCGTACTGACAGTAGCAGGGATGAGAAGAGATGGGATTGGGGAGTGTGATTTGCAATTCATTTTCACGTGAGGGGGTTCACATGGAGAAGGGCGGACAGAAGGTACTTTCCAGCGTGAATTGGACAGGGTTCAGCGGGTCCATATGCCAGAGGGAAGGAAGCTTGCCATCGCTCTGGCTTGGGAAAGATTGTGAGGGTACCAGCAACATCTTGTGGGGAATGAGACCAACCAGCAGTGAGAGAAAACTCACCATGTCTGCTGCGTGATAACTCAGCACAGTGCGTCCCCAAGCGGAGCAGGGGACGTTGCTCAGCTGGTGCTCACGGCCGTCTCCACTGCTGCGTTTCTAGTAAATGTCGCTACACAGGCCCCGCACGGGGGGATCCCACATTTTCAGAGATGTGGGTATTTAGTTAAATGACCCATCTTTATAAAAGTTGTTTACGTGTCACTGAAGCTGATAATGATTAGCAGAAAACTGGGAAGGGAAAAGTCTTAGCAAGGCGAAAGGACGGACTTCTTGGATCTCAGATGCAGGTGGAACTCGACCCTGGGCATGGCTGGTGATTTTGGTTACTTGTCTATGGGTTTTGACGCTAAGAATACTTGCTTGGGTTGTCATGCTTCCTCCTGTTGTTCCTGCTTCCCCCCCTCCTCAGGCAACGCTGGAAGAAACACTGTGAGGGCAAAGACCTGTCTGAGTGGAAGAGAGGGTGCGAGGTCTCATAACGTGGACCTGGACCCACCGTGCTTTGCGACGGCCCCCATAGGATTCGTCACGAATGTCAGCACACTTCTGCCTTCGTATCCCCTCCCCTCCCAACATTCCTTCTCAGAGCTAGAGAGGGAAAACCAAGCTACATTTTTAAGGAAATAAATATTTCAATTCAAATGTCTTCACCCTGACTTGGTTTCAATGATGTCACAATAGCACGATGTTAAGACTTGATTCTGGGAGCGGGGGACCACCAGGTTGCCTAAGGAGGAGTGAACCGGCCCAGGTCCGAAACGGAGCAGGTCAAAACTCCCATGCTGATCAGTAGTGGGATCGTGCCTGTGAATAGCCACTGCATTCCAGCCTGGGCAGCATAGCGAGACCCCATCTCATAAAAAAAAAAAAAGACTTGAAAAACCACCTCCAAAATGCTGTAGCCCCGGAAGGAACAGACTCTCCTTCCTCATTGTAAGGGGTCCTGGCTCTGAGGGCCCTGCAATGGCTGCTCATTCGGAAATAAGCCTCCTGGTGCTCTCCTTGACATGGGAGGGTTACTGCTGGCCTCTCCTGGAGCATTAGGGCCATTCTTCTCCTGCTCAGCCGACACGCCGGAGAGAACGTTCATGCTTCCTCAGGGGACTCCTGCTGGAAAGTGTGCTGGGACCAAACATGAAATTGCAGCTCTGGCTCCCGATATCCAGGGAGTTCCCATGTCACTCCAATACCCATTTACATTAAACCTACCCGATTCGAAAACCACACTTACATCCTTATGACCAAGTTCTCTGCCGCCTCGGACCTGCAGATTTTTAGTTTGGCCAGGAAGCTGGTGATCATCTAAAGTGGCAGTCCCCAACCTTTTTGGCACCAGGGACTGGTTTCAGGGAAGACAAATTTTCCATGGACTTGGTGGAGTGGGGGGGATGGTTTCAGGATGATTCAAGCACATTATATTTATTGTGCACTTCATTTCTATTATTATTACGCTGTAATACATAATGGAATAATTATACAACTCACCACAATGCGGAATCAGTGGGAGCCCTGAGCTTGTTTTCCTGCAACTAGACGGTCCCATCTGGGGGCGACG